ATTCTAGTAGCTTTAAATACAGGTAGTCCTTGACTTACGACACAATTGAGTCCAAAATTTCTATTGTTAAGTGAGACATTTAATATGTGAGGTTTGCCCCATTTTACAACCTTTCTCTTGCCACAGTTGTTAAGTGAATTATTGCAATTAATAAGTTAGTAACACGGTTGTTAAGTGAATCTGGCTTTCCCCATTCATTTCGCCTGTCAAAAAGTTGCAAAAGGCGATCACATGACACTGGGACACAGCAGTGGTCATAAATATGAACCAGTTGCCAAGCATCTGAATTTTGATCACATGATCATGGGGCGTAAGTGTGAAAAATGGTCCTAAGTCACTTTTTTCAATGCCATTTTAACCTTGAACAGACACTAAATGAATTGTTGTAAGTCAAGGACTACCTGTAGGGGCACAGATCTGTTGTCCTTTATTCAGGAGGATTAGGAGGCAACTACTGTGTATTTGCTCCTGAGAACTCATACTTGCTCTGAAAAAGTACATTTTCAACTCTCCCTTGGTAACATGTTGCTTAGTTAAGAGATACAACAATCATAAAGTTTGCACATTTTTGTGACCTTTGACCTACCAAAAGGATTGTATATGCTTGTATATGCCATCTGAATTAATTTGCATTTCAAAAGACTAAAAATGTTCAAAATAAAGGAAGAAAACTTGAAATCAAAACTAACAAAAAGTGAAATATCTAAAATCCAACAGAACGATAACGACTCAAGCAGGCAGGGTTCAAAGGCCAGTCCAGATGAATGGAATAAGGCTAACTTGTTCCTGCCTAAGCAAGGATCCAAACTGCCATTTTGTTACCTTCGGATGTAAGACAAATAGAGCTGCATTGTATTCTATATTTAGTGGCTATCAATACACCTAATCAGAGCTATTCTCAAGGTATCATTATTTTTGAAAAAGCTATTGCCTATTTCCAGATCTCTGAAAATGCCAGGAACCTTTAGTTCTTTGTAAAAAACACACTAAGCTACAAATAAATCAACCACATTTCAGCCTAGGATATACAAACTAATCTCCTAGGTTTAATTGTTTAAGCAATGAAAATTGGATTAATTGATCATGACTAATCAATCAAGATAAGAATGTGTAACAACTAGGTGACATAGGATAAATGTCTTTGACAACTATTGGCTGGGTTTTAAACCAAGTCATGGGGACTAAGATTAAATGTATCTAAAATTCCATGCTGAAAGACTGTTTCTATAACAGATACTATACATTCATATGTACATCAATTCTAAACATTTACAAAGTATCATATTGGGTTTTTTTTTTTTTAAATGAAAACATTTATCTCCACTTCCAAGAATCTGGAGAAATTGCAGCAACGTTGTTTCTTCTATTATTATCACTTTTAACAACTAAAACTATTTCAAATAAAAATAAATAACCAAACATTTGCAAAGAACATTTGTATTGGATACAACTTTTGGTTTTAAAAAAACATCCTTATTTTGTCAGTGTTTCATATTTTCTCTCTGCTTTTCTTCAGTTTGTACAGTGAATTTATGACTTAAGGGGGAGAGGAAAAACAATGCAGAAGAAATAGTGTTGCTCAGAGGTGGTATTCAGCAGGTTCTGACCAGTTCTGGAAAACCAATAGTGGAAATTTTGAGTAGTTTGGAGAACCAGCAAATACCACTTCTGACCGGCCCTGCCCTCATCTATTCTCTGCCTCCTGAGTCCAAGCTGATCGGCTGGGTCTTTTTTTGTTGCACAGGAGAACGGAGCTGGAAAGCAGGTTAGTGGGGTGGGGAGAGAATGGAAATTTTATAGTATCCTTCCCCTGCCACACCCACCAAGCCATGCCCACAGAACCAGTAGTAAAAAAAAAATTTGAATCCCACCGCAGGTGTTGCTGCATTTTCTCCTTTGTGTGTGTGTACCTTTGAGTCCGTGTTGACTCTCAAAGATTGCCTGTGAACTGCATTTTCATGGCACGGTTTTTCATAAATGCTTTGTCATGGCTCTCTTCCTAGACTGAGAAAGAATGACTGGTCCAAGATAGCCCACCCATGGTCTCTACATTTCTACCTGGTGCCTTAACCACTAGACCAGTGGTGGTTAAGCTTTTGGGGCTCCCGTGCTGAAAATTGTGCGTGCACCAGCACCCAGAAGGCAATGCATGCGTGGGCCCCCATCCCCGTGTGTGCCATGCACATGCGATTTCCCATGTGCCATGCACCTCTGCGCATGTGTGCATGATCCCCCACATGCCGCGCATCTCTGTGCATGCATGCACGTCTCCCATGCTCCCCCGCCCTTCCACACATGCGCGCCAGATACCCAACAATCAGCTGTTGGGTGGCGCCCGCGCATGCACAGTGGGGCTCCTCCGGGTGACCTCTCGCATGGTGGCAGAAGTGGCTCTGCATGCCACTTCCAGCATGCATGCCATAAGTTTGCCATCACGGCACTAGACCAACCTACCTCTCGAACAAACACTAAACAAACACATCTGCATTTCTTGCACAATGAAGGAAGCAATCCCTTTCCAGACCTGAGGCTGTCTCACCTGTTCTGAAACGATTTCCCAGCCACGTTATCCCTGTAAGAGTCAAACAGGACATGGTACTGGTCCCGGCTCCACTCCAATACAACCTGTGGAAGAATATTTAAGATTATATTCTGAAGTAACTGAATTGAAATGGATTTTAAAACTGATATAACTTGTAGACGGAAATGCAAAGAACAAGGTTTAAGTCTACTCTTTCTTATATTTTTACGATATTTTATAAAATGGAATAAACTACAGTTATTCCTGAAAATGGAAGGTTCCCCTCTAATATAACTTACCAAGCCTTGTTATTATTAAAGATCTTTTTAAGCATGACATATCTGCTCTAAGTTGAATCATGGGTATAATTCTTTTTCCAGCCATATATGTGTAAAAAAGAACTGGTAAGATTCCAGTACAGAAAAATGCTTTGTCTTTTTATTTTTAATTCTACCACCCAGTTTGCCACGTAACGTCTTCACACAAATAATTTCAGCATAGAATTACCCCAGTCTACAATCCTATGAAGTCTTTCTTGACAACTAGAATTCAGAGAATTGTTATCCAGTTCAAACCACAATGACAAAAAAAGCATATCATAACATAAATCTTGGTTTTTTGTACTTGCTGTATGTTCTGATGTAAGACAAGATACACGTACATAAGCCTTTCAGTGTCTACAGCTGTGTGAAAAAGTCCTGCACACTTTACGCTTCATGGTTTATGACATTTTTTGGATAGGCCATTGATTTTATGATATTTTATGCTAACTGCTATGCAAATATTGTTATATTTAAATAGATACTGGTGGTTTTTAAGTGAAAAGCGTAAGCTTTTTGCAATTTGGTGCTGCTTGGATAGGGATTGTGAATTTTCTTGCATGCTTACAATGACTACGAAAACAGATTAACTGATGCATACCCAGTGGCATACGTGTTACAATTACTAAGGCCGATGCTAGTGTTTTGTTAACATTTTTATTGTTTGTGGTCCTGAAAAGGACCGTTTAGGTAACCAAACATGGTTACTAATATGAAATTGGCCAGCCCTTATTGCTTATCACCAGGCGGCACCTCTTCGGCATAGACTGTACAGTATGCCAAGTGGACCAACGAACAGTGGGACAAAGTCATCTTCAGTGATGAGAGCAATTTCTACTTGACTGGGAATCAGTGCAATAAATATGTCAGAAGATTTCCAGTTGAAGAATTTAGGCCAGTGGTTCCCAAAGTGGGCGGTGGGATGCCTTGTAGGGGCACTAAGAGGCAGCAGGGGTCACCCCATTGACTGTTGCACTGGAGCCTGCGGAGCCGGTGCCTCTTACGCCCCCCCACTGCCTCTTAGCGCCCCAAGGAAGCGAGGTAAAAGTGCATGCACCGCCTCGTAGTTGTGTCACAGGAATTACATAGGGCGGGCCTTTCGGCATGTTGAGCGTTCCTGGTCGAGGCGAGTATCAGGAAGTTTTGCTTGGTGGGCCAAGGCCTAGAAGTCAGTGTGAAGTGATGTCAGGGATTACGGGAGGTGGGACAGGCTCTGCTCGGAAGCGGCTGCTGAAGCGGGGGCTCTAAGAGGCAGCAGGGGGATGTTCGAGGTGCCAGCACTGCAGGTTCACCCCATTGACTGTTGCACCGGAGCCGGTGCGTCGAACGCAGCAGCGGCAGGACGTTGGGAAAATCACTCTGGCTTTGCTCTACTTTCCCAAAGTGCTGCCGTTGTCGCATTCTGTCTGTCTGTCTGTCAATCCATCCAAAAGATCTGTCTGTCTGCCTGCCTGCCTACCTACCTGTCCATCTGTCTTTCTGTCTATCTACCTACCTACCTTACCTATCTACCAATATAGATCTATCTACCTACCTACCTATCTATCCATCCATCCATCCAAAAGGTCTGTCTGTCTGCCTATCTATCTATACATTCATCCAAAAGGTCTGCCTGCCTGCCTGCCAATCAATCAATCTATCTATCTATCTACCTACCTATACATCCATCCATCCAAAAGGTCTGTCTGTCTGTCTTCCTGCCTGCCTACCTATTTATCTATACATTCATCCAAAAGGTCTGTCTGTCTGCCTGCCTGCCTATCTACCAAATAGATATCTATCTATCCATCCATCCATCCATCCATCCATCTATCTATCTATCTATCTATCTACTTATCTACCTACCAACTTATCTACCGTGTTTCTCATATAATAAGGCCGGGTCTTTTTTTTTTTTGAGCCCCGAAAAAATGGCTAGGCCGTCTTTTCGGGGGTGACTTAATTCCCCCCCTTGCATCTTCGGGTGGGCAGGCGGCGATGGCTTGGATGTTGACCTGAGCATTGGTGGGACACTTCATATTGGGGTCAACGCAGGCAGCACCGTATCCGGGTGTGCAACAAAAGTACTTCCTAAGAGCAAGCCCCCCCACCATTCCCCCCCATTTATTTATTTTATTTATTTTATTTTTATTTATTTATTTATTTGATTTGCCAATTGTTTACAAGATAATAAGTATAAATGTATACATAGTTGTGAATACATGAAATGGTTACATATAAGAAAAATAAAAGAATAAGAGAAACAATAGGACAGGGACGGTAGGCACGTTGGTGCGCTTATGCACGCCCCCTACATGTTTTAATATAGGCCTTAATTTGGGGGGAGGGGATTAATTTCATTTCATGCCTATAAAACATGCTGGGACTTCCTATTGGGGGAGGCCGTATTGTTGGAGAAACAGGGTACCTATCTACCTACTTATCTATCTATAATAAATATCAGTTTCATGTTCATGAGAGGAGCATTGTCTGCTTCCCCTTTAGGCTGCTTCCCCGTCTACCTTGCCCCTTGCAGAAATCCTTCACCCTTTCACTCATTTGCCTCCATGCATTTAAGGGAAACAACTCATATGAGGCTGCTTTTAAGAATTTCACCTGCTGATCTTCTTTAGCCAACCTCCTCTATCAGAAAGATGGGAGAGATATGGCCTTTTTCATTGCAACACACCATAATTTCTAAACAGTTAATTTCCAGCTGGTTTTATATTTATCTATCTCCTAGGTTACTGAACCATGCTAACAACCATATTTTACCATTCATGGGTTCTCTCTTCTGCTGTTTGATTTCCTATAAGCATATTCCCTTCCAAGGAATTTCCCACCCCAATCCCCACCTTTAAGTGTTTAAGCTAATTTATCTTTAGGCTGCAAAAGTCCAGGCACCCCTTAAACTAAATAAAAGGATTAAGAAATGTTTGAGGCTCTTTGGTTGCCACCTGCTGGCTGTGTGGAGTTTTGCAGCTAAAGTGGGCAGCATACAAAATGTCATTAAAATAAAATGAAATTGGCATGCTTATTCTCTCTTCCCTGGTTCCTTCACAACACGACTGCAAGAACAGCAGCCTCCAAGCTGGGATCCCCGAAAATCCCCTTTCCAGCGCAAACTGCCGCTGAGTCTACTAGGGCTGGCAAAGGCGGGAGGCGCAGCGGTATAAATCACGCTCTTCCTAGCCCTTCCTTCGGGGCCTCCTCACCTCTACGCCACTATTCTGTAACAGAGAATTCTCTTTTTTAAAAAAAAAAACTCTCATTCTCACTTTGTCACTTTACGGTCGCCCGGATTTTTGCAGTTCAGATCTAGCCGGACCTGAAGGCTTAGGAGCGGGAGCCGAGAAAACGGAGAGTTCCCTTAAAGCGGCTGCCACCGCGGCCTTTCCTGTATTGGCATTACGGGTGCTTGGCTGCTCACTCGGCACGGGAAAAGGCACAGAGCAAGCAGCAGGGAATTCATGCAATCGAGTGAAGACAATAACAATTATCGGGAAGCTGTTGTTATTATTATTTTACGTTATACAGAAGAAACTGGAAAAGGAAAGGAGGCCAGCACGGGAGGGAAGTGACCGAGGTACAGCGCCCCGGCGTGCAGCGAAATAAAGTTGGCAGCAAGAGCTTTGCGTTTCTCTTAGAAGAGCGATCGCCAGAGAGCAATCCAACAGGGGAAGTCTTTGGGGGCCCTGGCTTCCGCCCATCATGCAGCCCTTCAAGGGCCCGGAGGCCAGGCTGAAATGCGACGGGGCAGCCAAAGCGCCTCTCTGAAAGGAGCGCCACGAACGGGGAGGCCTGAAGGAGGAACATCGCTTGAGAGACAGAAGGCCGGCGCAAAGAACGAGGCGGGGGGGGGGAGACCCCTCCAGGAAAGAGGCGAGATAAGAGAAAACGCGCAAATCCTCCCTCATGCAGGATCGCGGGCGACGGGGAGCTCATCGCTCGGACGGTTGGGCGCTTGCCAACCGGGCAGCGGGGATCGCGCCTTACCTCGCCGAACTGTAGGGCGGAGACGAGCAGGAGGACAATGCCTCCAAGGCAAAGGCAGGGCCCATATCGGTGGGACAGACAGGTGTAGGTCTGTCTCTGCAGGAGCTTCAGCAGCATGGCCCGCCGGGCACCATCACCACCCTTGCAGCCGCCGCCACCCGCGCCCGCCCTTCTCGCAATCGGCAACCGGGCCAATTCCTAGCAGTCGCCGAAACCGCCGAATTTCCCGTCCCCGGCACATCGCCGAGGCCCCAGAGCGGGCGGCTTCCGGCAGCCGGGCCCCTCCTCCCCTCCCCCTGTGGGCGGGGAATGGATTTGCTCGGCGCTGGTGGGGCGGCTCGGTATTTGCCAGTCGCCGCAACCCGGTCATGTGTCGTTGTCAGGCGCCTCAGCCGCCTCGTGATTGGGAGGGAGCGAAAGAGCCGCCGCTTGAGGTGTTTGCGAGGAGGGTTCCCGCCACTCCCCAAGGGCCACTTGAGGCTGTTTTGTTCAAGGTGAAGGAATCATCAGAATCGAGCTGTAAGGGACCTTGGAGGTCTTCTAGTCCAGCCCCCCTATTCCAGCGGAGGTCCGATCTATACCATTTCCGACAAGAGACCATCCAGTCTCTTCTTTAAAACCTCCAGGGATGAAGCACCCACAACGCCTGAAGGCAAACTGTTCCATTGGTTAATTGTCCCCGCCGTTCAGAAGTTTCCCCTTAATTCCAAGTTGCTTCTCTCCTTGATTAGTTTCCATCCATTTGTTTCTTGTCCTGCCCTCAGGTGCTTTGGAAGATAAATGGACTCTCCCCCTCCTCTTTATGGCAGCCTCTCATATACTGGAATACAGCTACCATGTCGTTGTGTCCCCACCCCGGTCCTTCTTTTCTCTTCTAGGCTAGTTACTGTTAATCTTCTCATCACTCCTTATCGCCCATCCCCTCCACTTGTGACTGTAGGACTGTAACTTTGTCGCTTGTATCCTTACAATTTATATTGACCGTTTTCTCGTATGATTTGATTGCTTATTGTATTGTTGGAAGAAATATCCTTCTGGGTTCAGTTCCAAGTGGGAAAAAAGACACTGGAAACACGGAGGCTGTTTGGAAGGTTTAATATCAGGATCACATGGCTTGGAGCTCCAGAATGAAAAGGAAGAAATCAATAAAAGGGCTGAGGTGCTGAGAGTGCCTGGGTTTTATACCTCTGTTGGGATTTGAACTGGAGCTTGTAGTCTAATTGTTGTCGGACCCCCATGCAGGGGCAACTCTGTAGGCTGTCCTGAGTTCCAGGCTTGGTTGAGCCTTGCTGGACGATTTATGCCCTTAAAAGGGCTATTGGCAATTGCTATAGCTTTACTTGGAGATTTTTGTTATGTAAAGTATTCTGGCCCAGGCCTTAATGGCCCACCTATTAACAAAGGTGGGGGTGAATTTAACAAAGGTGGGGGTGAGCTTCTGCTTCTGAGTTTCTACTCTTTTTAGAGGAACTATTCTGCCTTTTTAATATTTCCTAGGCTATTTCAATTTTCTAGGAGAGGGGTGGGTGCTAACTTCCTACAGTACCCAATCAATAAGTGTTGCACGTTATGATTCTTGATTCTTAACAAATGTATCTTTTATGTATATTGAGAGTATTTACACCAAGACAAATTTCTTGTGTGTCCAATCACACTTGGCCAATAAAGAAATCTATTCTATTCTATC